TATGAGGAGATTGTGATTTAAAAGTAATGACACGATTCTGGTCTTTATCATCCACTTCAAAAGAAATTCCAACATTTGTTTGCTATTCCCTCTTTGAAGCTGGCAGGAATACAATCATAAAATGGAAATGCTCCTGCGATTCCCCCTCCTCTTTCTGGAAGTGGGTGTTTGAACCTTTCCTGGACCTTTCCTTTTCCTTTTTTAAACCTTCATCTCTAGCTAGTGGCTTCCTCCAAGGCTGCCATGTGAAGTTTTAACAAGCTGAAATGTTGACTTCCAGCGTTTGGGAGATTGTCACTTCAGCTAGGCCATTACTGGGAATGATTTAAGGAACATGATGGGGTTATCTGGATCTCTTAGCATCTCTTTGGGATGTCTTGTGTGCTGCTTGCAGTCTCTCAGAATAAATTCATGTTCAGCTTGCTTTTCAGCAGAAAAAGAATTAGTTTGTCATTTTTACTGCACTTTTTATTAGTGAGTTATGAAAAAGGGGAGAGAGATCAGCGTGTCTGGCATGATCCCTATGGAATGAAACACAGGGCTCTGGGAAGCTGACTGCCAGAAAGGTGCAGGGAAATGTGAGGGAGCTGAGGAAAGTCTCCTTTCGAGGAGGGACCAAGTGAGCTGAGTGTGTGGGGCATCTAAAGATTGCTGGAAGCTGAGCTTCACTAGATGGGCAACAGAAAGACTGTGGAAAATTGTCACAGGGTCAGGGAGGTGAATCTGGGTAACACCATTCTGGCCTCAAAGCTGTGGAACGTGCAGAGAAACTGGAAGGCAGTTTATATTTACTGGAAATATGCAATGTTACCACGATTTGCCCACTGAAGTCACTGTTACCAGATTTATTCCAAGCCAGAGGGTTCCCAGGACTGAAAATAGCTGGGCTAGTACTGGCTGTTCTTTTCATTTGGACAGCTACCTTTGGTTGGAAGACACTTCAGAGAAGGCTGGGCTCAGGAGGTGCTGGGGGAGTTAATCATGTTGTTTGCAGGCTCAAAGCCTCTTGTGTGCACTGGTGCAAGAGTTAATCCACCAGGCTGGATTAACCAAGCTGCCTGCTCAGCCTGGTGTTTGGATGTGCCTCCCCTTTGGATGTTCCCCTTCCCAGCTCTGTACTGGGCCCATCCTTTTCTGCTTTGGCTTGGCCATTTTCCTTCAATCAGATGCCAGCCTGGATGGTTTTGTGAAGGCAGGGAGATGGCAAATCCTTTCCATACCTGATGGCTGTCCTGCCTGCCTTGGTCCCACCATGCCAGGGACTAGAGGCACCCATCTCTGCCCACCCTGCAGCCAATGCTGAAGAGATCTCTTTTATTTTAGTGCTTATTCCTTTGCACATGCCTGCCTGTGGATTTGCCAGCAGGATCTGTGCCCTTTGGTCCCTTTTCAGCCTGATCCCAGATGCAGTTCTGCTCCCTGCAACTCCACTGACTTCTTCTTAGAACGTGGGAGTCATTACAGTTTTCCCCTTAGCTCCTAATGCCTTCTGAAGGCTGAAGTTACCCAAAGGAAAACATCTGGCACACTCAGAGCAGCCTGGGCACTGTCCTGTCCCAAAGAGCAGCCGTGGGATGAGGAGCTGGGAAGGGAGAAGCTGACCCAGTGCAGAGCAGGATGTGTGTCAGCTTGGAGATTCTGATTCTTCATCAGCTCATCCCCTCTGTGCTTGGAGTGGAATTTCTCAAAGTGCTCCAGGTCCCTTGGGGATGAGGATGGTTCTGTGCAAGTGGAAAAGATGATGATCATGTTGTTGTATTTATTTGGAGAGGATGTGCAGCAGCTTTCAGACAGCTCTGTGCACCTAATTGGGAATTCAAATTCCAGCTGGTAGATTGAGGCTGAAAGGCTGAGCTGTGGGATAGAAACGGGCAGGCACAAAATGCTGAGGCTCCTAATCTTTTACAATATGTTTGTTTAATACAAAGTGGTCTATTGAGATTGTTTTGCAGAGTAGAATAATCGTTGTGTGCTGACTAATGGGAGACAGCAAGCTGTTAAAGAGCATCAATTAGCCATACAGGAGGAGATTATTGAGTATTTTCACAAGCATTCAGGATGTGAGGAGTAAAGGATATTGCTTGAAGGTAACCCTTGGAGATTTTTAGCAGTTGAGATCTATAAACAGCAAAAGGAGTATTTGTGGCCATGCATATGTTTGCAGAGCCTTCCAAGAAGAACAGAACTGGAGTTAGCTTTCCAAATCCAGATTGTGCTGATAGGAAATAAACAGTGCTTTGCTGAACTTGTTATCTTATTTAATATTAATAATTTTTTAAAGTTTCCCTTCCTAAGTTTTTCTAGTGTTACCCCAGGAAATACTGGTCCTCTTTATAGAGGATGGCATGTGCAGCATCCTTCTGATGCTTGGGGGTAGGTTCTGTGCCACTTCTGTTTTCCTGGCTCTAGGGCTGCTGTCCTTGTCCTTGCAGCTGTTCCTGCTTCCCAAATCCTGCCCCTGCTGTTGCTGTGGGTTAGAACTGGATGCACTCAGTGCTGAGAGGAGCATGCTGCTCCTCCATCATGTGCCTTGCTTAATGGATAATAAAATTCTCCAGTTTTGACTAGTGCAGGGTATGAAAACCTATGTTTCATTAAGAATGCTTTTATACAGCCTTACTGTGCTTCTGCTGGAGTTTAATGTGAAAAATAAATAACATCTTGTGGGCTCTGTTTGCTGAGTGATGTTGTTGTTTGTAACTGATGGGAAATTTTTCCCATCCTGGATTCCAGTGTTAAATCCACTTTGTGCAAACATCATTTTTCCATTTATTCATTGGCTGTGGGGAGACCAGATAACATTGGATTTATTTTTTCAGTTTTGCTCCTTCTGAAGTGGTGTTAGAGAATCACACCTCAGTTATTCTTACAGCCAACAGCAGGAGATGTCCCTGGGATTCCTTGGGGATTATGATAAAGAGGGACCCCTGGTTCTTGGACAAGGACAAAGATAGACTTCTCTCAGCTTCAATTCTCTCTTCAAATGCCTTAATCAGCTGAGGTCTCCTTTAACAGATGGTTCTGCATCGATAAAACCTTTAATGTGTTAGAAAAAACTCAGAGAAATTTACTCCTTTTCTGATTTGATTGATTTTTTTAATCTCCTTTAAGCGGAGGCTGAGGGGTGAGAAGAACTCATCAGAAGAGTATGGAGAGGATTAATTACTTGGCTGCAAGACTCATGAAGATATTCTGCAGGAAGATGTGGGATGGGTGAGCAGAGCCCTGGTGAAGTTGGTGTCAGAGGAGGAATTTCATGTGACTGCAGCCATCACACCTGCAGTGCTTCACTGCCACTGATCCCCTGCCTGTCATAGCCTACCGAAATAAAACCTTCCCCCCCGATCTGGGGGATAAAAACCCCTTCTTCCTCCCAGACAGCAGCTGTAGCTTGGCAGTGGGAGATGCTGCAGGTGCTTTGCTACCTCAGAACTCTTGTCCTTGCAGCTGGGGCTGCTTTGAGCTCTGCCTGATGTCTGGTGCTTCAGAGAGCTGCCAGAATATCCCTGACTTTACAGGGAGCTTGTCAAAGTGTGAGGTACCGATATCTTAATGCAGATCTGCAGATTTGAAACCCCAAGGAGCTGCTGAGCTTCACCCACAGGCAGGGAAGGGAGGGGTATCATTAGCACTGAGCTTGACCTGAGCTGAGCTTTGGCCAAAGGATTCATCCCTGGAGCTGCAGTGAAGCATTTCATGGTTCATTATCCTCACAGCAGGAAGCAATGTCTTACTCTGTAGCTGAATATCTTAACTGGAATTTTCATCCATTTGATCTTCTCATGGCTTTGTCAGCAAAGCCTGATCTTTGCCACCTTTTTTTCCTTTCAGGAAGTAAAACAAACCGTGTGTCTGTCTCCACGAATGGAATATTTGGCACTCTCTAAGCTCTATACTCTCAGGTTTGTTTTCTGGGCTGTGGGTCACTGGATGACCTGCCTGTGAATCCTCCTCTCTGTTTCCCTGTGTTTTTCTCAGGCACAAACTCCAGAACAGCACACAAGTCTCAGGAGAGCTCTGGGATTTGTGCAGGTTGCAGAGGCAGCATCGCTTTTGGGGAGCTTTGCTGCTTTTTGACTGAGTGGATTTGGCAGCTTTTTGCCGTAGCAGAGACAGAAAATCCCACTGGGCCAAGAACCATTTCCCTGAAGGCCTTAGCAGGGTGCCTCTTTTACAGATGTTTCCCCACTGACAAGTGCATTTTGAGATGAGTCACTGAATTCATATTTAATCCACTAGTAAAATTGGCAAGGCAGTTACCATCTTGCAAGTTCTTCAAATCAAATTGTTAGAGAACATTAAATCAAATGCTTTGGAAAAATCCCAGTATATACAATTGCTTTTATAATCCAGACTGTGATGCTGTTAGAAGAAAAGCTTTTATTTTATTGGGGCCTGTCTTCAGTGAAAGTGTGATGCCTGGTACTCATTTTGGTCTTGGCCTCTGTTTGACTCTGCTCCATTATTTTCCTTTTCCTAATTGTTACCCCATAATGAGCACTGAGAATGAAGGAATCTCTCTCTTGCAGTTGTCACCCCTACTTTTCAGCACTGCCAAGTGCAGAAAGCATTTGCAAACAGAAATAATGCTCTTATTCACGAGGCAATTAATCTGTTATGACACCCTGGTGGCTTGAAGAGAAGGTCACTCTGCTGGGTCTCCCTTTTTGCTGCCTGTGTTTTGCTCTGAAGCCAACCCACCCGTCCCCAGTGTGCACAGCCTTGTGTGTAAATCATCCTGGAGGGAATGCTGGACCGGGAATGTGCAAACCAATGACTCCAGGCAGCTCTCTGGGGACTGAGGTGCTGCCTGGCTGAAAGCACAGCTTATCTTCATTCAGTTTGCACTGCCACACTCTTTAGTTCACACTCACAGCTGGCTCTTCTTTTTGGGATGTCCTAGTCCAAACGTGACTTTTTTTTTTTTTGGTGGTGTTGTGGGAGGATTTCGTTCACAGAGATGCACTCTTCCCTTCCTGTTCTTTTTCTTCCCTCTACAGGTGGCAGCAGGAGAAGAACTACAGAAGGAGAAGTTCTCTGCCAGTGCCAGAAAGATCCAGGAAAGCGTTGAACTAAAGCTGAGAGCTCTCCAACGCCTTGGTGCTCCAAGGAAGAACCAGAGGCACGGTTCATGCAGGCTGGTGCTGAGGAGCAAAGCCCCTGGCACTGCTGGGAGTGTGCCCAGGGAGGCTGTGCCAGCTCTGAGTGCTGCAGGGCTGATCAGGGAGCTGCAGGGGAGGCAGGCCAGCCTGCAGAGAGAGCTGCAGCAGCTGCAGGAGCAGTGCCGGCAGTGCCTGCAGGGAATTGCTCAGGGCTGGCAGGGAGTGATTTGTGTCTCCCCTTGAAGACAGAAACCAAGCAGGAGGCTTGGAGGGAGTGATTCGTGTCTCCCCTTGAAGAGAGAAACCTGGGCAGGGAGAAGCAAAGCAATGGAGTGGCTTAGTCACGTTGTGACCAATTTCTAATTTCTCGTTCTTTGGCGTGGGAGCCGTAACTCGTTACTGCTTGTACCGGGGCCACAACCTCGGTGCTCTCTCTGCAGCCCCTTCATTGCTAACCTTGCCAATTAAACTCTGCATCAGGCCTTGGTGGGAGTGTGCATAAATCTCCCTTTTATCTTCTGGATTTCTAGTTCTGGTGCCAAGCACTGGGCTCCTTTACAGAGCTCAGCTGCGAGGCACGGCGTACATTCAGGCCGTGCATTGAAGTACTAATTGCATTCAATATTTCCCAGCAATTGGAAGAGTTCATTAGTCAGAAAAATCCAAGTATTGGAGAACATGAAAAATACCGAGGCTTAGAGAGATTGGAAATGTTCAAGAAAGTGTGTTGTTTTAATTCAGCTGCTTGCAGCATTTGTGGCAGCTATAATGTAGTCACAATAAAGAAAAACAAATGCCCTATAATAAATAAAGCACTGCACTGATTTCATTTACTGGTGTGATGCACTTGGAGTAATTGGGTTCTCAAAGAGAACAAACTAGAAACCCATTCCATCAGGTTATGAGCCACAATGAGATGGATACCTTATGGATCTGCTGTAGGAAGTTTGTTTGATACAGAAATTCAGCCTTAACTTCCAAGCCTGAGGAGTCTCCAAGCTCTGTCTCTGAAGGCTTCTTCCCTTGGAACAGTGAAATGCTTTTCCTTTGGCCTTAATTTCCTTTTCTGGTTTGCTTTCACCAAGAAATATTTTTATATTCTAGTTGTACGCTTTGAAATAAATAATATTTAAATAAGCTGGTCTGCCTTTCATCTGTGAGTTGCTGTGAGCAGTGGGATTTCTCTTGTCTGGGGAAGCAGCCCCTGGGAGCAGGGTGTTTGTGTGTGTGTGTGCAAGGCTGTCAGTCACAGCCAGAGCTCCTGCTGGCAGCTGGCACTGGGAGTGACACCCAGTCCTGCAGCAGAAAAACCCTGTGGGGCTGGCAGGATCCCTGGCTGGGGCAGGTGGCCCCGGGAAGAATCTCCACGGCTTTCAAAAGCCAATCCACACCCCTCTGCTTTTCAAACCATCTCTGTAGGTGCAGGGTACCTGTGCCAGGCTGGTACAGGTGCTGGCTCCAGGACTGCTGGCATTTAATGCACGAGAGGACTCATTCAGACACAGCTTTCACAGAAAATTATTCATGAATGGGAGCAGAGCAGTATATCCCAGAACTAACAAGAGTGGCAGCACCAGTCTCTTTTTCTTTGAGCATTTTATATCCTCCTTTAGCTGTTATACAGGAAATTTTCATACTGCATCACATTTAGGTTTAAAATGTTGCCCTCAAAATATCTTTTCTTCTCCTGGGATATTGGGCAGAGAAGAGCAGGCAAATATTCTGAGAATGGAGCCTCAGATTCAAGTGCAGGTCTAGCTCTGCCCTGCTGGGGCTTCTCAGGGCTGGCTCCGTACTGGATGCCAGGATTTAATATCCTGCTGGCAGGAGTCACTTTGGGGTGACTGATGTGCTGGGATCAGCCCTTTGTCACCACACACACTGTCACCTTCAGTGTGCAGCCCCCTGCAGCAGGGACTGCAGCTGGCAGCACTTTGCCCCTGAAGAAGTGGGTTTTTTTTTGCTCAGGTGGAATGCCAAGAGCAGCAGTGCTCGGTGTGCCCGTGCAATGTGTGTGATGTACAGGAGTGCCCACGGTGGCTGGCAGGAATCGGCGTGGCACAAGCCGCTGTGCTGGAGTGGCCACGTGGAGCTGTCAGGAGAGCCCGAGGGCTGGAGCTGGGGCTGGAGCTGCTTTTCCTGGAGTGTCCATCACGAGGAGGCAGCTGGGGGGCTCAGCTTTGCACCTGGGCTGCTGTGCTGGCACTGGGTCACACCTGCACACCCCGTGCTGAGAGCACGGGCGAGCGCCGCCTTTATCTGCTGGCACCGATTTTGCGCTGCCTTTTGTTGCAGGTACCAATTAGCTTAAACCAGAACAGCTACTGTGCTGAAGGTCAGCAGTCTGTTCTGAGCTGGCAGTGGTTTTAAATAAAGTATTGCAGCCTCCTCTTTCCTTCGACTCTGTTCTGAGCACAGAGTGCACGAAGCGGGAGATGCTATAAGGGCTTGGTGCTCTCCCACACCGAGTTTTGGAGGATTATTTTTGCTTTTAAAAATCATAGCAGCTCCCCAGGAGCTGGAAACACGGGGGCTGAGCTCTGCTCATGTCGTGGTGACTGGTCACAATTTTGGGGGCATATCTGGAATAGAGCTCTGCAGTCCTCATGAGCTGTGTAAGCCATCAGCTGTCCACTACTGCTGGGAGGTGATGAATGATAAACACCCCTTAAAAGCCTAAGAAAATATCCCTGGATTAACACCAGCTGCAGTGAGGGCGGGAGAGTGAGCTGAGTGACCACAGTGACACTGGCTGTGGCAAAACCTAGGAACAAAGAGATGTTTGTCACCTCACAGCGTTTCCATGGCATTTGTGGTGTTTTCATTTCCTCGCTGGGGCCTGGCCCTGTGTCACTCTGAGGATGCTGCAGAAGGGGGAATGGCTGCCCTGGGACAGTGTGACAGCCAGCATCCACGAGCCTGGTTAGACCCTGGCAGATGCTGTGACAGGAGGAGGGTGACACAAGCAGTACCTGCCATCCACGGGCTCCTGCATGCTCCTGAAATGTTAAGCATTACTTCTGAGAGGAAGGTTGGATTTGTCTTTACAAACAAGCTGTGGGTCTGCTGGTAGGTAAAAGCAGCACTGAAAGATAAAATAAACACTGGGAAGGATTCCACTGATTGATGAATGGAAAAAAGATATTTGCCTTTACAAATAAACTGTAGGTTTGCTGGTAAATGGAATTGGGTAGTGAAAGATCAAAGAAGCAATGGGGGAAAACCATGAATTCCATAAGAACTAAAAATTAAAAGGGAGGGTTGTACATTAGAGGGGAAGCTCAGGTATCAGGGGTTCTGGGAAGTCTGTGCCTCTCAAGTACCTCAGCCCATGGGGAAACAGAGAGAGGGAAATGGGGCTGGGAAATTGGGATAAAAAGGGAGGCTGCATCCTCCAAAAAACGGAGAAACCCCAGGGGAATGCCCCATGGCCTCTCCCTTTATTCCAATAACGTTACAGGACTCCTCTGTCTCCTTTCTGGACATAAACCTCTGGTGTTTGTGGATTAATTTTCCTGACACTTCACAGCAATTGGAGAGTGTTGTAAACAACCAACTACAGGCAGAAAACACAGGCAGAAGCTGTCAAGGGGTTTGCCCTTTGCCACACCACCATGCTGGATGTACATTTCCTTGTGAGAGCAGGAATCTGCCCTCAAAGTGTTGATGGAGCTGAGCAGAGCAGGTGGGTAAGGGCTGGGGGAGCCGTGTGAGTGTCACACTGTGTGCATGTGGTTGTTGAATTCTGGTGGTGAGGGGGGGGCTGGTGGTGATGCTGTCCAAACATCTGGGCTGGGCAGCAGGGTTTGGTGTGCTTGCTGCTTTGTTTGAAGCAGTTCTCCTTGTTGGTGCATGCTGAGGGGTGTGGTTTGGGTTTGGAAGCAGCTGGGAGCTAAGTGATGCTGGGAAAGAGAGGAGCCTGTGCTGGGAAAACAGGAGAGCAGGGCTAAATCAGCACCTGGCAGAGATGCTGCAGGTGCTTGTCAGATACCCCAGTGCCTTGGCTTGCAATGCAGGATGTGCCCAGCAGTGTGTGTTCTATCCCATCTGTTAATCCAGCTGGGGCAGTGTTCTTTATCTTTCCCACAGCCCATCCTCCCTCCAGGAGATCTCTCCTGTTAATGGCCATGGAGTCCCAGGGCATGGCTGATAAAATTCCATCATCCCATTGGGAGATGCTCCACCCAGGGGGAGGAGCCAAGCATTTCCTACCCAGATCAAAGCTGAGATTTGGAACATCAGAGCAGCCTTTTCCCACTGCATTCCAGAGGAAAACCAGACCCTTCCACATCATCACTGGAGCTTTGGAGGAAAACTGCACCTTCTCCAGGAGCACTGCTCCAGCAGAACCACATCTGTCACTGCAGGAGGATGCAGCCACCATTGAATGGGACTGCACCAACCCCTGAGTGACTGACGGGGGTCAGCTTGGATTCTGACTCTGGCAGTGTTTTGGGTTTGTTCTCTGTAATACTGCATTTCTATTTTAATTTTCCTAGTAAAGAACTGTTATTCCTATTCCCATATCTTCCCATATTTCCCTTATCTAAGGGGTGGGAGAGCTCCTTAATTTCAAAATTATAATAATTTGTAGGGAGGGGTTTACATTTTTCCATTTCAAGGAAGGCTCCTGCCTTCCTTAGCAGACACCAGCCTTTCAAACCAAGACACCCTGGCAGAGTGAGGCAGGGAAGAGCTCTCCCAGATGTTCACCTGGTGACAGGTGACAGCACAGCCTGGCCACGTGAAGCCCCCACCACAGCCAACCCTCCTGGCTTTTGGCTTCATGCTCTGCTGATGCTTCCCTGCAGGCAGGCTGAGATCCTGCTTCAGTCTTTAAACCACACTCTGTGATGGATTGCTTCCCAGCAGAGCTTTCAGAGAAGTTTTTAGAGGACCTGTGTGTGTGCAGGGTCAGGTGGGTGTTAGTAGGAGAGCACAGGTTAACCCGTGGCTCTGCTGTAACTGGTGCTTGCTTTCCAAGCACCTGGCTAGGAAAATGGAATTGGCCATAAATACTTAATTGGCTGATAACTGTGGCTCACACTGTGTAGCTGGAAGTGTTCCTCCCCAAATATCTGAGCATCACTTGTCTTGCAGTCAGAACAGGAGTTCCCCTGGAGAGGGGCGAGCGTGGTGCCCTGCCTGCTGCTAAATAAGGGCTGCAACCCATCTCCAGAAATAAGAGCTGCTGCTGAGAACAGTGATTTCCAGCCTGGAGTGTTCTGGGCTCCCTGTGGGATTCCTGCACCAGCTCCTGCTAGCAGTTGGTGTGAGT